AGATTAGCTCTAGATTTAGGTTGCAGTGCTCAGGAACACACAGAAATCTTGTGTTTTGAGAGAGAAGTGTTTTTCATTTAAAATTATTTAATATTACTGCCTGTGATGGAATAAAATGAACTATTTTGGAATATCATAACTTTCAGAACTTACATATAAATCTTAACTGATGGATAAACCAAAGAGGGAAGGGTAACAAGAGGGCTGGGTGGAAGAGAGGTCTTTTATTAACTCCTTCCTGGCAGCTTTACTTCCAGTGAGCCTAGTCATTGGCTTGAAGTAGTGGAATATTCTGAGAAAAAAACCAACTAATGCAGAGCCAGAAGTATCCCCCGAATTCTAGTTCTAAGTGCCAAACTAATGATTTTAACTACTTGTATGATTTATGTCTTTAAAATATAGGCGTCTTTCAGTAAATTACAATTTTGTGTAAATTTAAGGGACTTAGGCCTCCTGGAGAGGCCTTTGGAAATAATTTTTCTTTACCTAGAAAGAACTTAATGAAATAAGCCACTCTGGAAGGGAGTAATGAATTCTAGTAAGAGGTGCAGAAACATCTTACCTATTTTGACAAATATAAAGTCTGCTAAAGAGTATAATGCAGTTTCCATGTTTCCATGTTAATGGAAACTGGTGACAATCAACAGCGCTGTGAATTACATCTCGCTCTACACACAAAACTTAGCAAAAGTGCTACTAAAGTTTATGGGGTAAGTGCTCTTTTGGTTTTTTTTGAGAAGGGTTTTTCTTGATGCTGTCTCTTAGCATTATTTTGGCCACTATTCCTTAGCTGAAAGGTGAGTGAATAGTCCTATGATAATTGAGAAGTGCATCTCCTGGCTACAAACACTTGAAGAAAACTGTATGATCTGTCATCTTAGTATTTCTGTTGATACCTTGCTTTTTGCTTTTCTGAAATATTCCATGCCATATTTATTCCATACTAGAATTTTTTGACAGTTTTGTTACCATGAATATTGCATCATTTGGAGACAAGATTTTTCATTTTCTTCTACAATTGCAAGGCCTGTTTCCAGGGGAAAAAAAGTAGTATTGTTTTGTCAGTTAAAAAAGCTATTTATAACTGCTTGCATTTTTATTTTCAATGTGAGGAGGGAATTGCATCTGATACATTCTCCTGTATCAATTCTTAGGAGTCTTCTCAAACCATTAGTTTCATGGTTTTGTAGAGTGGATTTAAAAATATACTAATACATTAAAAAAAAAAACAAACCAGAAGAATCAGCTTGGCAGTTCTGTTTATACTTGGACTACTGGTATCAATGGTGATTGAGGTGTGCATGATGATTGAATGTTGTGCATGATATACCCTGAATGCTCAAGAAGTCTTGTTTCTAATAATTGTAAAAAGGGGAGAATCCATACTATATTAAATGTACAATATATACATAATTTGAAAACTGGGAGTATTCAGTATTTTTGTGTAGATCTACAGTTGACATTCAAAGCAGTTGGAATTGTGAGAATCTCATTTTTAATGCTTGTATCTAGAGTAATTAGCAAGTATAACGCTGTAATTGCCATCATAGCAGTTTTTCTAAAAGCAAATTACTCAGATAAATCAGACCTTCTTGAGGTTTTTTTGCATTATTGAGTTGTGAAGTATTTTACAAGACTCCTGCAACAGAAGTAATTTGGAAAGCTTTCTTTTGAGTTGTGTAAAGATTTATCCTTTTACAATAAGTGATTATTCTTTGCTTGCTTCCCTTTTGTTTTTTTTTTGTTTTTTTTTAATCTTCCTAAAGCTTAAATTACACCTTACTACACATCCTTTGTCTTAATGGCTTTCTTTTCCCCCTATAATTGCCTATCATCCATTTTTCTTGTTCTCTTACAGTTTAAGTTGTTTTCCCAGGTACCGGGTGACTTCGGAGGTTCTTAATTGCCTCCCTACATATTTCTCTAATAAAAGTTTAGCCCTCCTCTCTTGCTGCTCAGTTTTAACACCCTGTTGTGGGTAGTTATGGGTGGCTTCAGGGAAGGGGCTGAAGCAGGCTGATACTCAACCGAAGAACGGGCAGCTGCATAGTGAGGAAAAGAAGCTCTGAGAAGATAACGCTATCATTGTTATGTTCTGCAAAGGGTTTGAAGCTCTCAGGTGGGCTGGAATATCAACCAGCATTGGTTTGGCTACTCTGTTTTAACTGCCTGTTGGTATGCCTTTGTTGTATTTTGGGCAAAACCTGTGGAACAGTTGATCTAACTTACCTGCAATAACTTGTTTATGCTCACATAGTAAATAGCTGTCTAGGACATGATGTGTGTGGGATAGGACTGAATTTTTGTTATCATCTGGACTCCTGCAAATACAAGTTTTGGCCAATTATCTAAATACATGTTTTTATAGTTAATATGTCAAGCATTTAGTTGCATTAATGATATATGCTGTCAGTTAACATTTGAAATTGTGTATTTTCTCTATTTGTCTTAAATTTGCTAAATCTGTGTTAACTGTACAGAAGAATTTCCTCATGCTGAAAAAAGAACATAGTTGTGAACATGCAGCAGTAGGAATAATAATTCTTGTAGGCCTGTTGGTAGTTTAACAGGCAGCAGAGATCAAAAGGCACATTTATGGATCTTGAGTCTGTAGCTGAAATATTTTTTTATATGGTAATAATTCAACACCAACATTAAAGCTATAAAACAGCAAATAATTACTTCATATTTTTTTATTACAAAGGTTAGACTAGATCAAAAAAAGTAAAAGTTACAGGTTCTACTCTTTGTTGTACTTACTGTTAACTGAAGACTGGTAGCATTTCAAGCTGAGAAAAAACATTGGTTTATTGCTAGGAGGAAGTGTAGTGTGCTTTTAAAAAGAAATGTATGTTATAGCTTGCCAGTGCTTCTATCCTTTGTGAAGAAAACAAGTCAAGTTCTAGTAACTAGACAGCTTTATAGTGCTGTACTTAATATCCGTATCTAGCTGGTATTGTACTTGGCCCTGCCTTATATGGCACATTTTACATTAAAAAAACCAGCCACTAACTTGCAGTTGAACCTGAGATGCATCAAGTAAGTTACGTGCAGTAATTCAAAATCTGGTACTTTACCCTGTAGCTGAAGAGTATCTCACAGCTTTTCCCTGTGGCATGTCCTGTTTTCACATATGCACATATGCATGCGTGTGTGCATGCACAGTCTGATTGATATAAATTGATGGCCATGATGGGTTTTCTACCATGTTGGGCTAGGGATTGACCTTGGGGATGATATATCACTTTTACTTCTGCTGCTTCTTGTCAGGGCTGAGGTGTAAAAGCAGACTCAAGACATCAACAAGGTTGTGTGCTGATTTTGTGACTATCCATTGGTATTAATTTGTGAGTGTGATTTGATTCTAATAGAGCTGCTGATTTTACTTAATGTCAGTTGACATTACTGTGAAAGGTCTGACAAAGTAGTTGCATGTTCTGTTACAAAGGTTTAATGGGGGTTCTAGGGTAAGAAAGAGAGGTCCTTCTTAGTGTTCATCAACAGCCTTTCATAGATGGACCTTAAAACTGCCTGTTTCTTGCCTTTTCCTTTCCCCACTAAGCAGTGTTCTTTCAAAAATAGTGTGTAATCTTAAGTTCTTTTTCTAGGTTAATATGAATCACTAGAAACAAAGTTACTGACCTGAGAGCCTTTTGTTATGTATCTTATGACAGTTTCCCACACCAGGGTACTTTTGTAAAACTATTGACTCTATTCTGTGAGATATTGGTGTCTGCTACTTAAGTGTTTGAAGATAGAAGACTCATGCTTGGCATCCTGAACATGATTGAACAAAAAGGAGTTTTGTGAAACTGTAAAAATACTATGAATTTGTTTTGATTTGATTCGTATTTCAGTTTAAAGGTTTCTTTTAGCAAGACTGATTCAGTTGCCTAGTATATGGAATTGTTTTCAAAATGCATCTGAACTTACACTCTTAAATCGTAAGTGGAATGATTTTCAGAATCAGGTAAATTTTTTGTGTATGCTTATTCTCGGCACACATGTTCACTCAAGAGTGGAATATGCGTTAAACATTCTCGATGAAAATTTATGAGAAAAAATTGTTGGTATAAGTTTTACTAGTTTTCATTTTGAACTGTGAATTTGTTTCTATTTCATCCTTTTGATGTAAGCAGTAATACTAAAATACCTTGGAATTATCTGTGATAGGTGTACTTTGTTTTCCCCCAAGTGATGATTTTTGCCACTCTGGGTACTATCTTTTGAGTGTTGTTTCGCAGCAGGCCGTGGTTCATGATCAGTAATGTCAGAACTGCTGACTGAATGACTTGAGCATCAATTGAATCTGGATCAATTTGGTGTGTTATTTGTCTATTTAATATAAATGCATGTTACATAGTTTATGTTGATACTGCATTTTTATGCTGATTTCAAAAGGATGGTCAGTATCTGAACTTGCATAGCAATAGCATGATATAATTTATCAAAAAATGTACCACTACCAAGTTAAGTCAAAGCTATTTGAACAAAGATGAACCGGCAGACTGAGTTGTTGTACCATAATATAAGACTGATATCAGAGTTTTGTTTCCAATTAACACAAGCATGTTTGAGTCATGAAGCCAGATTGACTGTGGTATTGAACCACGGCCTTTAGGCAATACAGTAATAAGACCTCTTTATTTACAGTTAAATGTAAATATACTGCTTACTAATGAAAAACAACATGTGAAGATTATTCATTTGCAGTTGATCAGATAACTATTTGGGAACTTCAGTCTGCTGCATCTGATAAATTAAACTTGTGATATCTAACCTTTATTTAGCATTATGTGAAAATGTACGGCATTGCTATATTGAACTTACTCCATTTGACTTTTTAAAAATGGGAGAGTATCGTTAACTTTATTCCTTGTACATTTTTTAAATCAATGGAAACTTTTGAAACTTGAACATTTTTATTTTCATGGAGTAAATGGGAATGTTTTAAGTTCTAAGAATGATAGGTTGACCATGAAAACTATGTTTACTTTCAGAGAGAACAGGAAATGAGAATGGGTGATATGGGTCCTCGTGGAGCAATAAACATGGGAGGTAGGGATCTGAAGGAAAAAGGCTTCTGTAATATAAAATTTCTTTTTCTTTGGGACTGTACATGTTACTCAAGCACTATTAATGAGTGACGACTACTCGTAAAAAGGAGTAAACAGTAGTAGGAAATAAAAAAAAATTCTCACGTTTTGCTTCCAAACAGCTGGGAGTTTTTTGACTACCTGTAGGAGAAAAATATGTGCAAATTAAGTGAAACAAAAGGGTGGGGGAATGTGATGCTCTAAAAATTATCTGATACAAAAGAGAAATTTTCTGTTCAGAAAATATTTCGTGTTCTTTTGGAGGGACTAAGTAGTCACAGAAATTGGGACTGTAATTGCATACAGTGGAATGATGTAGAGCTTAAAATTGGTAAGTTCTTCTTGACATACCTAACAAAAGATTAATGAATAATGTGGTTGGTGTTCTACTAATTTATTGCGAGTCTGTATTTGCAGATATTCTCAGTTCACTTTTGTGCCTTAAAGTATCGCCACTGCTAAATACTGTTACTGTGAAGTCTGGAAAAGTACATTCTTAATAATTAGTGCTTGCTCCATATATGCAGACTGAAACAGTTTGGAATCCTACTTAACCAGAAATAAGACTGAAACTTAGAATGCTACTTAAAAAAAAAAAAAAAAATCCTCTTACTAAACTGTATTAACTGTCAATATCTGTGTCTTGGAAGCTTCCTGATACTCATTTAAAAAAAATAAGATGATGATTTACAAAAAGTTAATACTATTTTTACATATTTTAAATTTGAAAGTACATATAAAACTTAGTAAACATTGTCAGTTGATCTTTTCAGTAATGTGAATTTGTAGACTAACGAATCTGCTGAGTCCAGATTTTAAAATACATTATTCACCATTTCCTTGCATTGAGACACATTTATAGCTGCAAAATAGAAATAGGCTTTTTCTTTCAGGGAAGATGAAGAGCTTTAAAAAATAATTTTAAAGGAAGACATTGTGAAGTTATTTACAAATAATGAGCTGAAGTGTAAATTGTGACTAATTATTTTGTAGTTGTACTTTTGCATATTATTGTAGTGTACTTGAAAATGTTACTTAATTAGGAGACTTTGTAAATATTGATACTGTGGAAACTACTAATGCCAGTTGTCCAAATCCACAAGGTACACTTTTTACATACAGATTTTAAATGTGTGTTTATAGCAATCTGTTCACAGCCCTTTTCTTGTCAGGTTTTAATGCTTAACAATGATGTTCATCATAAGTCTTGCTCTGTGAGCTTTGTGCTATGACTTTTGATGTTAAACTTGATGCAGATGCTTTCAGAACTAAATGTTTATTTCCAAAAGAGGTTACAGGAACAGTGAACTACTATTTTAAAAAGGGAAAAATATCCATTGTGAATAGGTAAAGATAGTGCTTGTTTCCACAGTATCTGGATTTTAGGTTGTCTCACTGTAGAGATTTTTTTTTTTTTCCCAGCCCATTAACAACCCCACCACTACAAGCAAAAAAACCCTGATCCCAAAAACCTGTAGTAGACCTTTAAATATTAGACCTTTAATTGTTGTTCTTAGCATCTTTTCTCAACATTTCTGTTGGAACTGTAACTTTATTTTTAACTGGCCTTTATCTGTGCCATTTGTGACTTTTCATCATGTGGGATAAGTTGGGAGCTGGAATATCGTCAGTGAGGGAAATACCAGCATGATACCATTATTAGAAAGCAAGGTATCTTTGTGGTGGATTGAATTAGTGTTAGGCTGACTTGTGCAGGACCACTCACTTTTACATTTTATTCTACAGCAAACAAGTTCTGAGGAAATCTGTATGCCTCACCATAGCACTTAACTGGATCTGTAATGCTAGGTGCAGCTGATAAACTTCAAATGGGGGGGGGGGGGGGGAGGGGAGTGTTTTAAAAAGAAAAGCTTTTTTTGGGAACCATCTCTGCATTGATGAGGATTATTGACTGTGGCTTGTTGCCAGCTGTGCCAGAGTTTGGCATGTGCAGTTCAGACACTTAAGAGTGTACTTTTTCAGCCCTCCAGATCGCAGAAGATGACTTTTTTTAGTGTCTGCATTGTGGCATGAACATGGATGACTACTTTCCATTGTTGCTGAACCTGGTGCAGTGTATTAACTGCTAACATCAGTGTCCCACCAAAAAGAATGGACAATCAATGGTTAGCTCTTAGGGTCTGCTTCAGAGCTAGGAGGACCTCTGAGCTATAGCTGAAATGCCACAGTGGCCTCTTGCAGGGCCCCACTCTCTCCTCGCATAACACTCCTCAGTTGTCCTCCTGTCAGAGCTGACTCTGCCTGAAACGGCTTAATAATATAGAGGTTTGATAGTGTAGGTCACTGTATGTCACCCTGGAAGCAGTATGGGTGCATTTATATGATACAGAGGTTAAGAACTTTGTTGCAGTTGAAGGATAAGCGGACACTACCTGAGTGTGGCCAGCTGGCTAAGTTTAATTAAGTGGGTAAGCAAACCAATAACAGATAATTGAGCATTGACTGCTTTTAGTTTATGGCACTACTACCAGCACTGCACTGCTGTCATGATAGTCCTGCAGAGTACTTCTAGCCTCAAGATAAAGATTTCTCCTTACATTGGCTGTTTCCTTCCATGTTCAGTCACTGAATGGATGACACTGAAAAACAGTTTTAGGGCATATTCAACTGTAATTCTCTTTAATTGTAGCTCAGTCTTCTACCTTCTATATGAACTGATCATGGTTGTGGGTAGGTAAGAAGCATCCGACTTCTGCATACCTTTGTTTTGGCTCAGTGTCATAAGGAGAGGTCTTGGGAGTTTCTCATTACTAAGCTCAAATGAGTTCTGCTTTTCAAAATTACAGGATTTTTCTCTTATCACTTCTAATGAACTTGTGTAACACATTACATGTGCTACTGTGTTGCATGGGTTGTTTTTGCTTAAGCAGCTTGGCATAATGTATATGATCAAGCCCAGGTCTGCAATTTTAGCAGCAATACCTTGGATGCAGTGCTTTCACTGACTGCTGTGATATGTATAATCAGGATAGGTAATAATGGTGCAAGTTTGCATACCTGCAGGTAGGCACAGTACTGTATCTGTGCTAAATGGTCTGCTTACAGTGATGTGCATTTATATATTAATTACTAAAGAAGTTACAGTTGTGATGACAGGTGAGAGGTTGATTTTTGGAATAAGTTTATTAGTCTAGCAACACGTCAGATTTCTTGATATTCTTGTATGTTATCATGACTTAAAACATAGGCTAGATTCCAAAGGCGTGTCTTCCATTATCAAATTTTGGATGCACACTTTTGGCTGAAAAGGGTGGATTATCATTGTGGGTGGAAAAACACTTGCATCACCGCCAGTCTTAAAGTCAGTATTTCATAGTAGCAGACATAAATGATATATATAATCACACTTTTTTCTTTCTTATAACAACATGTGAAAATGTTATGAAGGCAATTTTACCTACCTGTTGAGTATGTTAGTGAGTAGTGGCAGAGTGGTGTTTCTTAGCTCAATATTATACCTAAATGATCTCCTCAAAAGATGTCTTTAAGCTTTTCTTCTGGCTCTTGCTGTGAATCAGAATTTTGGAGGTGACTGTTCTGTCACTTTCAATTCTAACAAAACTTCCCTTAGTTTTCTGGTACTTTTACTATAATAAATGTAAATGCAAGATTTATTTATGCCGTATTACAAATAATTTATTGTAAAGCTGGATAGCACCTTTGGTGTTGCTTTTAGATGTTAGGCTAATTCACTGTTAACACTATATACAGTTAACATAATACTGGTAGAACAGTTCTTAAGAGCAAATGTATATTTAGTATGTTATCATCCCTAAAGAGGCAAGTTGCCTTATAGCTGTCAATTACTGCAAAATCACTTGAGGTTTTTGCTAATTTGTGATGTGTATACTGCTTTTATCTGCTATATGAACACTTCAATTCCTGCACAGAAACTGTACAGCTATATTTAGCTGTAAAGTTCAGGATTTTCAAATACATGAGGGAGATGATGTAATGCAAAATAATAGGGATTAAAGAAAATCTGTTTAAAAGCAGATGATTGAGATAAATGTACAGTCTCAAAGAATAATTTTTTTATTTTAGTATTGGAAGTCTTGTACATTTGGCTTTTTAAATATTGTAAATTGTTTGTTTATTCTTGTAAAATTCAGATAGGACAGCTCTAAGTATAGATTGTTTTGCATAGATGCGTTTAGCCCAGCACCTGCTGGTAACCAAGGCCCTCCTCCAATGATGGGTATGAATATGAACAACAGAGGAACTTTACCTGGCCCTGCAATGGGTCCTGGTCCTTCCATGGGACCAGAAGGAGCTGCAAATATGGGAACACCAATGATGCCAGATAATGGAACAGTGGTAACGTATCACAAATTTAATTACTTTGAATAGCTGTCATGTCTCATGGCCCATTTTTGTTACCAAAGATATTTTCACACTGGGTAAGAACATGTTACATGTTTTGAATCTGTTAAAAGTAATTGATTAAAGCTTATTCATGCAAATTTATTTGCAAGAGAGAAGGGAAATCTTTATTTGATATTACTATGAAAATCTTGCTTCCCTTGGGAATGAGGCGAGTTCTTTGGTCAGTAACCTGACTTTAAATTGCAGTTAGCATATACAGCACTTTTGGTAAAAATTTGCATGTATGACCTGTCGTGAAAAACTCACTGATAGAAAGAAATAATTTCTGTGAAATGAAGGAGGAACACCCTACCAGAGTAATCTGTAAATTTAAGCATTTGCTGTTTTTTCTTTTGTGAAACTAAATTCTATGTATTAGCTTGTTGGGGTTTTTGATGAACAATTAAATGTTGGAATCTATGTAGTGTGAAGGTATCTTTGTGTAAACTATTTAATTTTTTTAAAGTGACTTTAGTGTTTTTTGTATTTGCTTTCTAATGGTGTTGAAAGCATGAGATTATGACAGTAATTATGCCACTTAAAAATCAAGTATGCCAACAGCTGTTAGGGATAACTGTCATATCAACCCAGGGAAAACAATATTGCCCAGTTGCAGGGGTGGTAGGGAACATCTTGTATACATCTGAAATTTTTTATCAAGAGCAGGTATGCTACTGGGATGCAGTTAAAGCACTAGCCATTTTTGTTCTTTTCTCATAGCCAGTAACTTTTCCAAGCTGTAATGTCTTATGTAGAGAAACAACTGTATAATTTTTAATCTAATTTTTACGTATTTTCCAGTATTATGCTGTACATAGATATTTGGGATGTTCTAGTGGTGGTGTGATACAGAGGAGTATATAGTACAAACAGTGATTCCATTATAGTTTTATTGGAACACAGAATCATTTTGTAGCTGTATTTTTTTTTTATATGCCTTCTCAGCAGTATCTGTCTGCGATTTAGCAATCTGTATAATGAAGTTTGGACAAAATCCTTTGCTCCTTAGAGGAAAATGAGATTTTGATTGAGCACAAAATGAGTCTGGTCTTACCAGTTAAAGGAGAGGATCTCACCTGACTTGAGAGGAGCCAGCTCATTTTATCAGTTGTATCATCTCTCACAAAGCGAAGGGATGTGTTTCACAAAATACTGTTTTCAGAGATGCTTTTGCTGGAGACCAGTGTGTTACTGGTCACATCTGGAACATTCTCTTGTGATTATATGGACACTGAAAAAAGAGGTATAAGGAAAAGAACATAATATAAATCACGGTATCTATCTCAAACTGTTGTTTTTCTACAAAAAGTCATTCCAGGTATGGAAATGTAGGGAATATACTGACACTTCAAATGCATGTTTTAAAATAAAAAATTTTTTACTTCCATTTTTCCGTTTTCTTCTGCATGCTACTGAAGGACAAATTAGATGCTCTTCCCTCCCTCCCCCCAATTTTGGACTTCCAAGGTTTTTAACTTGGAGGACAGGCCCCTACAGAAAGGCATAGCCTTATTGTATTTTTGCTGCTGTTGGAAAGACACTCAAAGATCCTTCGAGGGCTGTCTACTAAAACAGTAAGAGTTAATTTCAGTTTCCACTGAGAGAGATGGAGAATGTGCTTTTTAGACCATAGAAATGCAGTTTCCATTTTTTAAATTGGGTGCTTTCTGAAATCTTTTAGGGGAAGGTTAGAGCAATCTTCTTTTTGTTCAGTGCAGTCTTTTGAAACATAGATTTATCTTTGAACATAACATTTTAAAAACAGTTTTTTTTTTCTCCCCCTTTTACACAATACTTTATTTGGTGTAGTTAATTCCTGCAGTTTCCTTGTTAGCTAGAGAAAGGGGCTGTTGTTGGAAAGAGGACTTGACTTCTTGTCCAGAAGTCAAATGGTAAAAATTATCAGGAGTATGTGATGAGCTATTTGTTGAAATTCATATCCGTTGCTAAGAAGCTGGCATGAGTTAAAGATAATTTTAAAACATTTCTTAACCAGTGCTGCAGATTTTAAGGTACTTTGGGGCAGTAGTAGATCTTGATGCAGCTGTTGAAGTAACTTTTCCTTATTCAATGTCAAATTTTAAACAATGCACATACATACAACCGTGATCTAAGTTGCATAATTTTTTTCCTATATAAATATAGTGCTGTTTTAAAATAATATACATATGAATTAGCAGTAGAACTGTTGAGCTCTACTACTGTTACTGGAGTTAGACTTTCAGAGAATTCTTCTCTTATTCAGGGATATAAAGTGCTAGTCTTGTATGTTCTTGCTGAACTTTGAATACCTGGGCAGTTAATGTAGATCTCTGTACAGAAGGAATTTCTTCTGAAAGCATAACTGTTCTCAGCAGTGAATTATGAGTTATTTTGAGGTCTGATTGTACCATATATCTATGCTTTTAATGGTTTATGTTATGTTGAGTTAATGTTTTAAATTTCATCATGTGGGGTTCTATTTTTATCTACTTGAATAAATACTGAACTCCAAGTGCTCAGATGCATGTTTTCTGTTTTAGGTCTTAATTGCTATAGCCTAATAAATCTGTGTAAGCACATACACCTTTATTAATATTAAGCACAGAAATAAGGAAAATAAATGTGGAACATGAAATGGATTTTCATCTTATATTGATATTTCAGGTTAAGCTGTAGATATGTAACAAGTTTTTTAAAAGCTAGGAATAGTCCCGTTATGCATTTTATCACTAGTTGCGTCAGTTTATTTGGACTGGATTTTAAGTCTAACTAAAGATTCCTGAAGTGCTGTACAAAAGGCTGACTCCAAGCAGTATGGACTGAAATACTTTTTATACCCACATAACTGTGGATATAAGTCTTCAGATTATATCGTTATTGAAAGAATAAACCTGCAGTCTCTAGAAATACAAAAGCTGATTTTTTTTTTTTTTTTTTTGCTAGTTTGACAACGTTTCTGTGTCTTAATGTATTTAAGGGAGAAGCATTGTAGTTGGTATATAAGGCAAAATAGAGCTCAGGTATAAAATTATTGTTTGCTGTCTCTTCTGGTATGTAGAGAATATGTATTGCTTCAGATGTGCTTGAAAGGATGAAGTTACATTTCGTACCAGAGTTGGTCTTAATACTTAAGTTTTTAATTTTTAATTTATTTTACAAAGTTGGAGCATAACATTAGCACTCTTTAATTTCCAGCTCTTTTTCCATAGTAACTAATTGAATTGCTCCTTTCTTCCCTCTATGTGTGATCCTGATTCTGCTGGACTATCTGCTGAACTTCATGACAACATCACTTGTGGTTTTTGTTGTAACTCACATTTGGCATGTTCCAAATGGACTTGTATTAGCATAATGAGAGATTCCCTCAAGGAGGTCCATCACAGATGGGTTCACCTCTGGTTAGTAGAACGGGCTCTGAAACTCCTCAGCCGCCAATGAGTGGTGTAGGTGCCGTGAGTGGTGGACCTGGTGGCTTTGGTAGAGGAAACCCAGGGGGCAACTTTGAAGGACCTAACAAGCGTCGCAGATACTAAAACTTATTTCATTCCTTACTGTTCAGAAATTCCAGTAAAAAAAATACGGCAATATGCCTTCATAATTTTAGCTGTTATCTGGAAACGGTTTTATTGTTATTGTAGTCTTTAAAACAGTTTCTTTTGTAAACCTTTTTTTGTATTCAGTCATAGGCTTTGTAGTATAGAGCAGAAATGACGCAGATCATTATGTAAGGCAATGTGTTTGTGACTCTAGCAAAATACAATGTGTGACTATGCTGTAAAATGTGCCGTTATCTGATTACAATAAAATACAAAAATCACTTGAAAGGATTTTGGGAATGTTATTACTAGTACTGGGTGAGAATAATTTTATGCTTATAATAAGTGGTGTCATTTTCATTCTTGTGTAGTTTCTACTATGTGTCAAGAAAGTTTCGTTCTTAATAGTGAATCTGTTTAGCTAAACTGCATGTTGCAGTACATACTAGGAAAGATTTATATCACAACTGCTTTTGTTTGTTTTGACTTTTGAAGGGCATAAAATTTTATACAATGTTCTCAAGGATACTGTGTCCTTATATCTCAGTCTCCATTTGCAAACTTAGTCACAATAGGCTTAGCAACAGAGTATATCTGTTACATTATTGGAAAATTTAACTGGGTGGGGGGAGACTTTGGAAAAAGAATCTGTATGTATGCTTTATTCATAACAGTATGAATGAATTTACCTAAACCATACTTCTACAGAAGAAAAATTGTTACGACATCTATGTGTTCTTCTGATCCTGAAAATATCTTGCCATTGCATGGAAGGACACATTTGTGCAAGCTGGTGTAAAACCTTCCACTGTGTATTGCATCATAATAAGTATGTTTGCCCTAGCGGTTGGTTTCAATAGAAACAAGTCTGTTACCAATGATTAATTGTTTAATTAGGAGGCAAATACATGTTTTACAGTTAAAATGATTGTTCATTTAGAGTAATATGCATTTAGAAGGATTGCACATGAATATTCCTGATAAATGTTTTACGGGAAGGTGAATTTGGAAAATACCTATTTCCAAGACAACCTGGGCTAGATTTGCTGATTGAGTCTTAAGATAAAACTGATGATAAAGGTATTAGGAAGCTTAGTATGATTCAGATTTTGTCATTCATGGAAGGAGATGGAAAAGACCTATTGGTTCTATTCCTGTAATGGCAAGAAAGTAGGGATATTTTTGTTTACTGTTGCTGCTTTTTCTGTGCAAAATAGTTGTAGAATATTAGGGTTCTGTTTTTATCAGTTCAGTCTTGTTTTCAGAAATAGAAACTACTAACTTTTATCTGCATGAATAGTGATACTAAATTGATTAAAAACTGATTTGAGGTAATATGATGCCCTAATTATATCGAAATGGTATGTGCGTAGCTCAAAGCATGGTATGCAAGCAGCAGAGAGAGCATGTACGTCTGTTTTAATATAGCAGTGATGGTCTTGGTGAATTGAATTGTGAGTAAATGGATAACAGGAAAATTGTGGCATTGCTGGCTTTTTGGAAGTACACTGTTAATTAAATTGCCAGTGTTACATGGCTTCAGACAGTGATTGTTTTCGTACAATTCAGGAGTTATCTGTGTAGGTCCTCAAGTATGACATCTGTAACTACTCAGCTTTTTCCCTTAGACTGTCTTTAACGTTGCCATTTTTTGCTCAACTTGAGATACATGCCACACATCGTAGTTTGTAATGCAATAGTGAGTTAGGTTTAAAGTCTGAAATTCTCTTTCCCCTCCTTGATACATGTGTCATCTTACAGCACTCATTCTTAAAAAAAAAACCCTGCAACTGGTTTTATTTAGCACACTATTCCTAAAACTCAACATTTGGGCAAATTGCTGTTTTTTTCACTAGATGTAAACTAGTATTTGCATATAGCAACTACTTAAGCTCTCTGCTTTGATGTACTGCATTCAGTTTACATCAGTGTCTAGTAAGGTGTCTAAATGTTAGATTACTTTTGTCTCATCTTTTCTGCCCTTGTGCATGGTGTTTATGGAGATTGAGACAGTATTGGTGTGAGCTGGTAATTTTAAACTGTAAAGCTGTAAGGGGAATATGTTTTAAATATAAAGGAAAAGGCTGTGTCATTCAGGCCTTTTGGCTAACTCCTGTATATGTTCCAGAAGTACATTAAACATACCAAATCTGTAAAAAGTGGTTCATTCTTTCCTTGCCAGCCTCATGCTGTTTTAAATGCATGTTTGTTGCACTGCACTTTCGCTAGCAAGCAGAGGTATGTATTTGAAACGAGTATTAGTCATTTTCATTCCACAGTTGTGAACTACCCTTCCTGTAAAACTCTTGACCTGGATGGCTGTGCTGTATGGTAGTAATTAATTAGTCTGCTGTCCTTATTGCAACAAATAATCTAATATCTTTTTAAATATCCATGAACCAAGCCTTTAATTCCAAAAAGATAAATACTGAAATGTTGAATTTGGGCACACTTTAAAGATTTAATGAAGAATTCCTTTTGTAGCTGATGACAGGCTGCCAAATTCTGCTCATAATAAAAGCTTGCTTAGGGCTGCCTGGACCATGTTGATGGTATTAAAAGCAGTGATTTTTTTTTTTTTTGTCATACATAGTAGTAACTGACTTTAGCTATACAATAAACACAAAATTTTCTGAGAAAAGGAATGGTCCCAATTTCATTCCTAAAAATGGTATGTAGATACAGCCAAGCAGTGATTTTGCTTAAAGGTACTGCCCATGTGCTGGAAGTGATTAATTTTTCTTGTTCCTCATCTGGCTGAGCAGTTTATAATTTCTTCTCTGTACCCATGTATTTATGTCTTTAATTGTCTTTGGTCTGTTGGACTAGAAAGCACAGTGAAGTCATGACACTTTCTGCTAAATGCTGTGGTAAAGCAAGTAAGCTTGGAAAGGATACAAAATTAGCAACTACAATGCCCTTAATTTTGGTTGTACTTACTGAGTTTTTACATTATTCCTGGAAATTTCAGTCTAAACTGCTTAGTTTTCATGTGAGATACAATTTTAATACTTAAAGATAGCAAAGCTTTACTATTCCATTTAAGTAAAAGAAAACACAGCACCACCAGAATCCAGCTTGTCTAACTGCATTTGCATTTATCACCTCAGTCATTTGGAGGGGAGCTACTTGGCACTTAAATAAAATTCATTTTGGTTGTGAGTTAATTTCTTTGTAGTCCTGTCCAGTGTGCTCATTAGATAAAGCACATTGATATCTTGGGAGGCTTGGTGGCGATTCAGATACACTTAACTATTTATTTCCTAAGAAAAATATTTAAAAATTACTATGGATTACCTAAGAAAGAAAATTCCTGACCTTAATTTCTTTTATTTATTGTCCACATCTATTTTATCCAATTGGACATAAAGATAAAATAAACTGGAGACTTCTGTTAGAACAGAAGGTTAACATAGGTGACAAGAAGACAATATGAACTAAATGTTAATTTAATTTCAACCATAATCGAATAGGATTTTACAGTATGCGTTCTTTGAGGAGCATTCTGATCTAAAGTATACTGTCATATTCTAAAACGTTATACTAAACTGGTTTTCCACTTTTCCACTTTCGATTTCAGATTTTTTAAACTTGCAAAAAATATTAATATGTAATTACCAATTCTTTTAAAAGGTACTAAATAAAAATGCATTGACTTCTATGAAGTAGTGATTGTTAAACGGTCACAATTTGCCTCGAAATAACTTGTCTCAAAAATGCTGAAGTAACTGATCTAAAGAAGGTTTCTCAAGTGAAAAGCAAAACCCCTTAGGCTTTTTGAAGGGGGAATAGGCTTTGAGGTGAGATGTTCAGCAAATGAGTGGTGTGCTCTGATGGCATGAAGCTCATTTTACTTAAGCATGTTGTGGAAACTAATTTTTTGGTATACTACTTGTTATAAAAAAAATTATATATTAAGTTGGATCATAATTCTTCCCTTCTCAATGAAGACAAGTCAAAATAAACTGCAATTGAACAAATAAAATGGCAGGGAAGGCTGGGTAGCAAATGATGGGGTCAGTTTTCATTGGATTGCAAATGTGAATGGATTCTCAATCCCATTCCTGAGATTCGTGCTGCATATCCATAGGTGGTTTTACAGAGTGTGCATCTCATGTTAACTTGTGCTTGGGGCCAACTGGGGGACTTGAGAGAGCGCATATTTCAAATGCAGTTCAGTTGTATTCCCAGGAGCCCTTAATTTATTAATTTGGGCACTGTGCTATGATTAAGATGCAGAACCATCTTGGGATTTGGTGCTTTCCTTGGGCTGTTAGCTAACTTCTAGCATGAGAGAATATCAGTCCAAAGTTCCCTGATTCTTGAATAGTGAGGAGGGAGGGAGTGTGGCCTATGAAAAATACAGAGGTTGGACATTACTCCTTTAGTTTATTGGCTGTTCAGTGCTAGTTTAGTGGCAAACATTGGACTGTATTATCCCAAAAGCGTTTGTTTTCTTAAAAGCCATTCAATGAAATGTGAGAACTTAATAACAATAGGAGGGTTGACTAAAAACTTGCAATACTTTGTCAGCTATCATTTTTCCCATTGAATTGGCTTTTTGTTGCCTTTTGGGATGTACTGTAAAATATACTTAGGTGGTGGTCTCACCAATTTGGTGTTTTGCTGTTGTGAAGAAGCCTGTTCTGTGAAAAGTTTGTTTTTCCCCATAAAATACTGCAGAAATCATAGTTGTAGGCATTTTACATTTGTTTTCACAGTAACCCATGAAATACTGAATTTTATCACAATTATCTCTGTCTAAAATGTAAGTTGTAGAATAGATAAACTGAATATTAAATTTTTGTGGAAACAACACTTTTGATTTTAAATACATGGAAACAAGCCCTCAATGTGTTAATTTTCAATGGGATAGATTTAATAGGTCTTTTCCATCTTGAACTTCCTTTAGTTTTCATAGTAGCTTATATAATTGAAATTTGGAGGTATTCGTGTTAATGACTTCATCCTGACTTCTAAAAGCAGTTAGAGATGGATTTCTTTAGAAAAGCAGTTTAGAAAAGCAACCATTTTTTCCTAATTGAAGGAACTATTCAGAAAAGTTTAAGTTCAGAGATAAGCATAGCATGCTGATAGATAAAACCATTTAAAAAAACTGCTTTTGTATGATTATTTTATACCCAAAACACATTAAAAAGAAAAAAACAATTCTAAATCTGGGTAAAATCTTACTGATTGTAGTCCCTCAAACAGTGGAAAACTGCTCTTAATAGTATGAGATTCAAAAGGAACTTAACTGTGTTACTGCATACACTTGTTGATAAGGTTTT